AGCCCGGTCAGTGCCCACGGGCTTTGGGGCTCGCAATACGGACTGGGTCTTGGAAGGTGCATCCCATCATGGTCAGAGTGTGATCGGGGTTGGGGTGCTCTTATTTATTGCATCGGTGCTGCTTGATCTTAATGATACGTGCGTGGAAAGGGAAGTTAATGCCTTTCATGTAGCAGAGCGCTGGAAGCGCTGGCAATACAAAAAATTAGGCGCAAAATGGCCAACGCAGTCGGCGCACCCGAAAACACCAATAAACAGCAACTGGTAATCAAAATCTGAGCCTCTCTGTTCCCAGAAGTTGTTGCAGACGAGGTGTCCGTTATGCCTCTGCATGGATATGGGTTATCCGGATTGGATCCGTGTCGACGGCGTCCACTAGCCGTCGGTGGATCGGAGCCTGACGCCCTCCGCCTGCCGTTTCAGGTCACCCACCCACGCCGGTGGCCTGTTCGCCATGGACCGGTCATACTTCTTGGAGCTTGGCGCGTATGATCCCGGCCTACTGGTCTGGGGAGGCGAAAACTTTGAGCTGTCATTCAAGGTAGCGTGCCCCCTCGTCACATCCTGCAGCATGGGCTGGTTCGATAAAGAATGGGTGGCTTTTGTACAAAGACTGTTTGGGCGCGTTTCTCTTTTGAGGTTCAGTTACAGGCTCATTTTGGTTTTGGCCATGATTTTTCGGATTCATGTTGATGTATGTTGCGGGCTGGTGTGCCATTAGTGTTGGTCTTTGTAATTGTGGCATCCTGTCGGTTCACGTGTGCGGCGCAGCGGTGTCGTCGCATATCCACACTGTTAGGCAGACTCGGCTGGTCGGCCACAGGCTCGCTTGGGTGCCCTCTGTGGGTCGTTCGTGTCCGACAGTGCCGTGTCTCATCAGAACACTGTGTGTCTGTCAGATCTGGCAGTGCGGAGGCAGTATAGTCTGGGTGCCCTGCTCTCGGGTCGGCCACGTCTACCGCGGCTTCATGCCGTACAGCTTCGGCAAACTGGCCGAGAAGAAGAAAGGTCCTCTCATCACTATTGTACGTCAGCAACCTAACCTGACCTTACCTGTATATAATAGCGCGCCCTCATCACCTCCATTACTGCGTCCTGGACTGTTTGATACGCCTCCGTGTGCCTCAAATGTCCGCGCACGTTTTGCGCAGTTTTTTTTTTTTTAAGTAAGTGCCGGCGTCAGACCGAAAACGACTGACGTTGGCCGCCGCCGCCATGTGATTGTTCCGCTCGCTGTTCGGGTGTATGCGCAGTGTGGTGGCCACCCTCACCCAATGAAACGCTACCATAAGCCTGCACACCAGCTGGAGCCGGGGGCACAGTAACTCGTACTGATAGATGTTGTCAGTGACACTGATAGCTTCCCACTGAGCTGTACTTGGGTGCGTACAATTAACATGTGCTAATTGCTTGTAGAAATTGAGAACTACCGCATCACGGAGCGCCGCTCTGCTTAAATCGTTGATATGCAGTATAGTAAATACGCCTGGTGGGATTTATCACTTGCGTAAGACTTCGTTCTGTTTTAATGGGTATTTACATGGCGCCTTCTCACCATGTTCAAAGGACATGGATTCCCCAATGTTCAAATCTAACTATAGCGTCTGTGTCTGCCTTGGGCCTCAGAACTACAAACGCGTGATCGAGACTTGGTTCGACGATAAGTACAAGGAGTACTTTTACACGCGTGAGCCGATGGCTCGCTTCCTGGACCACGGCGACATCAGCGAGCAGCTGGCCTTCAAGAAGCGACACAACTGCAAGAGCTTCCAGTGGTTCATGGAGAACGTGGCGTACGACGTGCCGGACAAGTTCCCCGAGCTGCCGCCTAACGTGCACTGGGGCGAGGTGAGCAGTCTGCGAGCGGCGGGCGGCGTCCGATTCGGCCCGAGCGGCCCGGCGGCGGCCTGGCGGCTCGGTTCCGGGGCCGACTCATAGGTGCTGCTGGGCGCTCGGTGTAAGTAGCACGATTGTCAAGTATCGGGATGTTGCGGCTGTGAGGGGCTTGCATTGCTGAGGAAATGCCGCTAGCAAAATCATGTGGAATCAGCTGATTGGTGCGGTGAACCAGTCCCGAAGCCGGTGTTGCGTTAAATTAGGCCGGTTGGTGGTGAGATGGCTGGGCTGTTACCAGCTACCACGTGTCTGCTCATCTGTACCGTATCCTGTCGGTCATGCACCGCGCACAGACAGTAGTGTCTCGTCAAACGTGTATGAGGATTATGCGTTGTGGTGAGACCACTGTGTGCGATCGCCGACCGTTGTGAGACCACTGAGGTTCGAGCTAAAATTCCCGGTGGTGTATCTTACCTCAGCTACGTTAAATAGGTACAGTTCGTACTACTCTCACATATTCTCACTCAGCTTTCTTTCACCTCGCTTGAGTTCGCAGGATTAGTTTAAGTTTGCCAACCCATAGTTGCGGAAATGAGTGTCGCTGTAAAGTATCCGCAGTATCCGCGATGGCTAGTCCGTTTTCCGGTTAATTTAAACATGTTACATTTGTTACGTACCCGCACGAGACGCAAAGTGCTTCTGCTGTTGAACAGACGTTACATTTATTGTAACAGTCCGCGAGAGAATGAAAGCCTGTTGTGTGTGTATGTGCGAGACGAGTTGTGTTGCCAACGCCGGTGGCGCGCGCGGCAGACAGCCAGGTGGGCGTCTCCGTCCCTCTGTGACCCCCTCCCCCACCGGCAGCTGAAGAACGTGGCCGACCAGCGGTGTCTGGACACGATGGGCCAGCCGGCGCCCACCGCCATGGGTGCTTCGCCCTGCCACGGCTACGGCAACAACCAGCTGATTCGGCTGAACACAGCCGGCCAACTGTCGGTCGGCGAGCGCTGCGTGGAGGCCGACCGACACTCGGTGAAGCTGGCCTTCTGCCGGCTGGGCACCGTCAATGGCCCCTGGCAGTACAGCGAGGTACGTGGAGGTCGACTGACGCTCTGTGGAGCTGGCCTTCTGCCGGCTGGGCACCGTCAATGGCCCCTGGCAGACAGCGAGGTACGTGGAGGTCGACTGACGCTCTGTGGAGCTGGCCTTCTGCCGGCTGGGCACCGTCAATGGCCCCTGGCAGTACAGCGAGGTACGTGGAGGTCGACTGACGCTCTGTGGAGCTGGCCTTCTGCCGGCTGGGCACCGTCAATGGCCCCTGGCAGACAGCGAGGTACGTGGAGGTCGACTGACGTTCTGTGGAGCTGGCCTTCTGCCGGCTGGGCGCCGTCAATGGCCCCTGGCAGTACAGCGAGGTAGTAAACGGTGTCGATCGACTGCTTGTGTAGAACGGAGCATGGACCAACTCTGGGACGCCTGATACTGTGATGTCTTTTGAAGGTGAGTCTAATGATTGTTCAATGTGGCAACTGAGAATCGTGAGGCCACGACATTCCTAATTCGCCTGCGTTTTTTTTCACTGAGTTCTGAAAGCTTTGATATTCCTCCGTTTATATTACCATGTTCTGCTTCCTTTTCACTTGACATACTGCCAACAGCATTTTGATATAGTAACAGCACAATCGAAGTGTGGTTTTATCTGACATTGGTGCATAAAGCAGTATCTGAACCTGGTGCACCTTAGTACCACAGACCATGGCTTCTGCTATGCACGGCTGCCTCGCTTATAACGGTGCGGATTGTGTTACCACGTAGAGGTGACAACAGCGTTGTTAATGGCTGTATGTTACGCACATCTCCAAGCTGTGTTGACAGCCAGATGGCAGACACTGTTTAGCTGCTGGGCCGATTATCTGGCTTTTAGTGACAGGCTATTTGACAGGAATTGATATAGGATACTTGTATTATATCATTGATGTATTGATCAACTTAAACGCCGGTATCTGCATGGATCTTAGCAAATTTTTGACTGCTTGCAAGGGTTGTCAACCAATCCCAGTTCTCACTATAACCGTCTCAGGTAAGCATTATGATTCAGGTGATCTCAAGCAGCATGTGGCATGCGTTTTGTATTTATATTTTCAGGTTCCCCGGAAAAGGAATTTTTATCTTTGAGGATATTGTACTTAGCGTCAGATATGACGAAACAATCCCATTTGTAACTATTGGTATACTTTGAAGTAAATTTCTGTCAGGAAATATGCTGTTCGATACGTCATTGTTTGATCGCGTCATTGCACCTCGCACAACATTGAGCCAATCGACGGCCGTCATATTTGAAAATCGTGCCCATGAACGCCAGGAATGAACAACTCGATCATTATGTTTTTAGTAGCTTTGATTGCCGCATGCTTGATGGAATGCCAGGATTCAATGACTTTATGGTGGCGTTATGAATGCCAAGGTGACCTCGGCATATTCTCCACGAAATACCCTCCCCATTTTGGCGGGCGTGTAGCTAAAAAACTAGAGCAGTTTAGTCCTAAGGACAGGACTGAACTGCATCGAGAGGTCTTCAAAATGGCTATTTCAGTTGAAAACCCCGTAGAAAGGTGGAATGCTCTCTCTCTCTCTCACTGCCGTTAACGTATTAGAAGTTTACATAATGAGATACCTTATGTAAAATTTTGCCACTTTCCGCCAGCGTTTGCTGCCAGTAGATTCTTCCAGTCAGTCCTAGCCAGTAAAAGCTGGCTGGCTGAAGCCGTTATAGCCAGTGGCTGTCAACCCTGCTTTAGGATCTGTTCCATGTCCTTGTATGCTTCTTTACTGCTGGTGGTGGCGGTAGTTGGTAGAGGATAGCACATCTCGGGGCCATGTCATAATAAATTTGTATGTTGACATCTTGTAGCGATGTTCCTCTCCGAACGTAGTCTGCGTTTCTGTTAGCCGCGTGTGGCGATTTGTTGATTAGTCTTCTTCAGCTGACGTTAGCTAAGCGTCTTATTAGCTAACATTAGGCCTACTTGAGCTGCAGGTCATTGTAGCTCACGGAAAACTGATGTCACGCAGCAAAAACGCTGAAAACAGTTTTCATTGTCGTAGCCTGTTTCATGTTCGCTTCATTGAGGAGTGTTTTGGGAGACAACAGCGTGATGGTCGCATGGTGTCCGTTTTGGGAGACAACAGCGTGATGGTCGTATGGTGTGTGTTTTGGGAGACAACAGCGTGATGGTCGTATGGTGTGTGTTTTGGGAGACAACAGCGTGATGGTCGTGTGGTGTGTGTTTTGGGAGACAACAGCGTGATAGTCGTATGGTGTGTGTTTGGGAGACAACAGCGTGATGGTCGTGTGGTGTGTGTTTGGGAGACAACAGCGTGATGGTCGTGTGGTGTGTGTTTTGGGAGACAACAGCGTGATGGTCGTGTGGTGTGTGTTGGGAGATAACAGTGTGATAGTCGTATGGTGTGTGTTTGGAAGACAACAGCGTGATGGTCGTGTGGTGTGTGTGTTTGGGAGACAACAGCGTGATGGTTGTGTGGTGTGTAGTTTGGGAGACAACAGCGTGATGGTCCGTATGGTGTGTGTTTGGAGACAACAGCGTGATGGTCGTATGTGTGTAGTTTTGGGAGACAACAGCGTGATGGCCGTGTGGTGTGTTTTGGGAGACAACAGCGTGATGGTCGTGTGGTGTGTCAGTGATTTGTGGGTGTTGGGGGGGGGGGGGCATTCATTTTGTAGACACACGCGAATACTGTCAATGCACAGCTTTGGCGTGCGTATTAAACATCAGGCAATAGATGCATTGTGTAAATTGACTCACATAGATAGGCTCGCAAGCGTACATGGATGTTCTGCGGCGCCGGGTGAAGCTTCATTAGGGTCTTTTGACCAGTGTGACTGTAGATGGGCATATACCTTCTAAACACATGTTTAAGAACGGTTAAAAATGTTCTATAGGTGATTAACGTCTGCTCATCTCCCAGCCGACGCCTATACTGCCAGCGTAACGGGGTGCATGGTGTCATGTTGGTAGACGGCACCGGCCATGTCCAGTGGTATGCCCCTGACTTAAGATGGTGTTGGGTCTATAACTTGCTTAACATATACACCAACTGAGGATGTATCCCACATCCGGACGTTCGGATTTCATTTGCGTTTGGCCGCAACATGACAGCTCATTTCGGAGGGTGTGGGATGTAAGAGGATTATCTGGAGAGGCTTGACCGCTGGCCTAAGCTGTTAACGTCAATCAGTGATAAGCAAGTCAGGCAAGGTGTGGTGGCATGGGTGGTATACCACCCAGAGATTATCCGTTATCATCCACGTCTGTTCGATCGCTTGATTATTCGGTAGTCATTCAGTGGGTTTTTAAACGTCAACCCCAGCAAACGCTTGTTAATGCTTCTTGAAAATGGACTTGTGTGGCTGTTTGGGACGCGTGAGTCATGCCAGCCTCGTCGTGCAGCGGCCTCTGACGGTGCGCCGTCGCCCGCTCGCTCGTCCTGTGCGCGGAGGGGCCACGCTTCGAGGCGTGGCGGAGCCGCTGCGTTCTTGGCATGCTGGTACCGTTACGGGCGACCGTTCTGTGCGGCTCTTGGCATCGGCTGCGTCCATAAACCGTGCGGCGGCTGGTGTCGGTCCCATGAATCCGGAAGCGGGATAACGACTGGGCACTGTTGGCATTTTTTCGGCGAAGTCCTGTAAGCTTTGATCGCAGGTATCAATGCAAGCTCATACCAAATGCACATCTGCAGGCGTATATGTTCCATCAGCACGGTGTTTGTCGGCATGTTCGCGTTGCGACCGACTCTCCGATTCCGTTGCAGTCGAGCCAGACGATGTTCCATCGGACCTTGAAGGCATGCATGTCACTGGACCCAGGCTCGGGACAGCTGAAGATGCTGGAGTGGCGACTCGCGTGACGCCTACAAGAAGTGGCAGTGGAAGCAGCTGACGCCGCGCTGGTGACGCGCCCCCAGCGGTGACATCTGGCGGCCGCGAGGCGGCTCCGGTAGTGACACATGGCGGTCTCTGCTAGTACTGCGCGCCGCCGGACGGCCCGGCGGGCTGGTGATGTTCCGACTTCTCTTGGGGCCTTGGGAGCGGGGGGGTGGATATTGCATTATAGCTGTCTGTGGCGGGACCACGCGCAGCGGAGAGACGGCGCCGGCTGCCTGGGGCCGGCACCGTGACGGCGAGCCGGCGCAGCTGGGGAGGCGCGGCGCCCGCTCCGTGGTGGACGGCTCGTGCAGCTGGCAGCAGTGTGTCGTTTTAGAGGGGTGGCGTCAGACCATGCGGGCCCCGGGGGACGGAGCCCCTCCATCACGTTATCCCGGACGTCCGCGTGCCATGCAGCTCCCGGCGGCCGTGATTCTCCGCTGCCGGCCAGCCCACTTTACATTCCAGTGTGGAGAGCTCGGTTGCTCCGGGCTCCGTAGGACGGAAGAGGCCTGTTTCCGGCGGCGGACGCGGGCCGCGGACGCTCAGTACCATTGGCTCCGACACTCTGTTGCAGCACTGCCGGCCCACTGTTGGACGCCGACAACCCTGTCCGGTTGCCCCGTCTTCGTGATCTACCCATCTTGGGGTACTTGCCTCTCTGATGGCTCCTCTGATGACGCGTCTGGGGTGCTCTCTCTTCCCGCCGTGAATCGTTCCGTTTAGGATACTCGCCTCCCCCTCCCCCCCCCCCTCTCCCGTCCCCTCCCCCTCCCCTTCCCCTCCCCTCCCCCCCTCACCGGCCTGTGGCGTACTCGCCCTTGTATTGGCCCCTCTAGGTGCCTCTCCGTGATTGGCCTGTGGGGGGTGCGCGGCCCCCCCTCCCCCCCCCCTCCTCATTGAGCGGGACGGTACTTGTCCCTTTATTGGCCCCTCTGGCTGCCCTGCCCCTTGTGAATGGCCTGTCAGGGTACTCACCCCCCCCCCCCCCTTGACAGGCCCTTCTGGAGTACTGTGCCCCTATGGTCCCTCTAGGTGCTCCCCCTCCCCTCGTGATCGGCCTGTCTAGGGTACTCGCCCCCCCCCCCCTTCCCCTTTTTATCGACACGTCAGCAGTACTCGTTCCCTTTGATCGATCCGTTTGGGATAATCCCCTCACCATCCCTCTGGTCGACCCGTATGGAACACCTCCCCCCCCCCCCCTCTGATCGACACGTCTGGGGTACTCGCCTGCCCCCTCCCCCTGATCGATCCGTTTGGGATAATCCCCTCACCATCCCTCTGGTCGACCCGTATGGAACACCTCCCCCGCCCCCTCTGATCGACACGTCTGGGGTACTCGCCTGCCCCCCTTCCCCTGATCGATCCGTCGGGGATACTCGTGATCAACCCGTGGGAGGGGGGGGGGGGGGGGCTGCGGTCGATCAGCCGACATCTGCTGTGTGGTGGGTGACGCGTGCTACACCGGTGTGGAGTGCTGTGATGCGCGGGCCTGTGGTCTGCCAGGGTTCAGCGATATCGTCTGTTGCCCTTTCCGTTGACGGTTTTGTGACTGGGGACGTGGAGATTATGCTTGCTGTCTTGGGATTAGGGGGATTATGTCCTGGATCTGCCGTTTGGCGTACAAGGGACGACTGCTTTAACGTTTGGTTTGGGGGAAGACGTTCCCGTTGATGGATGTTATATTCAGTTGCTGTTACGATGTGTATGTGTTAGCCTTTCAATGCTGAAAAATGATTCACGTCTGTACGTTTCGACTGGTCCGTTCGTCACCACTGTGTTTGTTTTGGTTACCTGTGCCTTCATGCTATGAATCGTCTGCGTGCAGACATGGCCACTTGGTCACATTGATTGAGATTATCATTTCTCAGCGATGTGTCATATTCACGTCTGGAAATTCTGTGCGAATATGGTGCTGCACACTGTGTTATTGAGGTCAATGAAGGTCTATGGGTTACGTAACTTGTTTTTATGCTTGTGACAGGTTCCCGAGAATGCAGCAGTATTCTGGCCGATCCGCGTATTGCTGGCAACCTTTCCGAGACTGGGCCAAACCGGTTTACATGTGCACGTGTCGCGGCCGCCGATGGCGACGCTGGAGGTGCGCGACCTCTCGCGCCAGCGGCCATGGGCCATCCGCTGCCTCAGGCGCGCCAGCCGCAGCCGTGCGTCTTTACAAATGGCGAAGTCTTATAGCGGGTCGCTGATGACGATGCCTCTGTAGGTCTGCTGGTGGGTTAGAGCTGACTCAATAGTTGCCTGCCGTTGCGCGGTTTGGGCCTGGCTGCGTTGGTCGTATGGTCGGCGCCGGCTATGATATTTTGTGGGTTTGTTTATATTTTGAGCTCGAGGCATGATGTAGATATGTCTTCAGAGTTTCCCAGTGAAACGCACTCTACGTGGCGCGAAGGTGTCAATAGTGTTCTAACGAAGGTACGGACTTGAACGACGAATTTACGGGATTTGAAATACCCGAGTGTTGCCGATGGCCCTATGAAAAGGCAATTTTCACTGGATGCGCAGAAAGCTGCACGCCGTCAAAATAATTAATCAGGTGTATTTCTGTCGTTGAGACTTATTTACGTTGTAATAGTCCTGAAACATTTTGTTTCAACATAGCGTCACCTGTGGTGAGCGAGTGGGCGGCAGTAGTAACTTCACCACAGCAAATTGTCCTTTTCTGTCACATGATTGTTTAATCTTGGAGCGTCTTTCTGCATGGCGTAAAGGTCATTGACAGCGTAAAGGTGACAACGTTCTCCTTAACGTTTATTTGCTCGGGATATCTTTAGGCTTGGAAACTCGTTTTTAAGGCATGATTATCTGTTTGCCGTAGGCAAAGTACAAGTCAATTTGTACACTTCTTCGGTACGTGCGATATTGGTTAAATCACGACTAGCTTTTGAGGGCGCCTATCAGGATGCGTTTGACTTTTCGTTTGCGAGAGTTGTGGTTTGACTGGGATTGTTGCTCAGCAACGGCTGGGATCAGCGCCGGTGTCCAATAATCTCTTTATCTTCGCCATTGCTCCATTTTCGGCAGTTACTTCGTTCATAAGGTTTCGCGCCATGACTGGGTTAAAAAAGTACTGATATGGTTGATTTGCGAAAAGCATTCGACCTGCTCCGCATCATGGTGTTCGGGCTATCGGCTCCAATGATTCCATGTAGTTCCATGGGGTTCCAAAACTCCATTTCCCTAAACTCGCCAATCCGCCATGCTCACCATTCGGCCCTACGAGCGCAGTTTGTGTTTGCTAAAGCCGTTCGACGGAGGGGGACTTGACACGGATCTGTATCCACTGGAACGTCTGGGAAGCAATCTATTCGTGGCTGAGGGCCAGATGGAGAGTGGAGGAGAATGTCATTGTGATTCGATTATCGCTGCGGTGGTGCAGGTGCCAGGCAGTGCTGGGGATCGCTGAATCTCTGCAAGGCTGTCTTTAATTTTATTACCAAACACTTGGCGACGGGTGTCGGCATTCCTAGCATTTACCATTAGCATTTTGGCATTCAACTGACCATAGCTCTTGGCTTGAGCAAGAGCTTAGGCGAGATCGGTTTCGGAAAAGGTTAAATCGGCGATTTCTGGTGGGTCTGAGGGGACCCTATGGGTTGGACAGTTGAAGAATGCGTCGGTGAGTTGTGGTCGGTCCGTCCGCCTGCTCCGTGCAGTTGGTTTTCCGTTTCCATCTCCTCTGGTTACTGTGGTCGACGTTACTATGAAAGTCCCAGAATGGGCGCATCCATTTTTATTTTTTTTGCCCACGAGAGCGGATCAGAATTGTCTGCCCATTTTCACCTACACTATTGCTTATTGGACTGCTCACTTACTCCTCCACCAGTGTCTGATAGTCTTGCGTCGCCGCGATACCCTGCGGTGGAGAGGCGGACTCAGTTTCGATAGAAGCGATTCGGTGCGCCAGAGGCGGTTCCAGCGCTCGAAAAAGGAGGGGTTCCAAACCGTGTTTCAACAAACAAATTGTTCCAAACGAATTGCAACACCGTCTAGCAATGCAGGTGTGTACGAAATAACTCGGCATCTTTGTACTTCAGCCAGTATTTGCACAAACGATCAATGTATACGGTGCCAAAGGCGTGCTTGGGTTCTTGCGAAAGGGGCTGCAGGGGAACATAGCCTCAAACCTTTACAAGCAGTACAGCGTCATGAATGGAAAACGCAGGAAACTATCCGCTCATGTAAACCTGCTAGGAGGACAAGGTCATTCTGAGCAGAGACGTTTCTAGAGTGAGAGTAAGGGGGGGGGGGGGGTGGGCTTATATCAGTTGGAACAGGACAGCGCTTAGCGTAATGTTGCCTTCCATTCATCACTCCAGTGTCATAAGCAGCATCTTGAACTACCACAGGCAGGTCCAGGACCGACAAATGGCGGGATTGTAGTACACGAAGACCGTCGTCACATGCAGTGGACGGTCAGCTGGCGGCCGCAGAAATATACAATGCTCCAGTCGCGTGTCACTCGCCCTCGTTTGGAAACTGGATACGCCTATGGCATGACACATGCTGCAAACACTACCATTGTAAGCATGCATGCTATATAGACACCATACTTTATTTACAACACATAGCTTCGTGGCCGGCAATGATCTGACTGGTCGCAGAGCTCCCTCCCCTTTCACCACCCCAGTAGACACCCATAGCTCGCTTATTCCTGCGTTTCTGGTAACAGGTAAGCACCACCCCATGTGCTCTGCATGTATTCATTCAGACACCAGTTTCCACTGGTTTTGTTATCTCTCCGTATCGCGTTCCCCGGATACGTCCAGGTATTCCGAATTTTGGAATATTGCCGAAGTGTCGCCATGTCACCATTAATATCAAAGCAGCCATCTGCGTTGGTTGCGTCGAAAGTAACTGATGAACGTGACAACTGCATCAGATAAAAAAATCCGTGATATTTTTTCGATTTTTGATCCATATCTGTCACCTATATGAAGTCACTGCTACTTTCATTTTAGAAATGCAGATGTTATCAGGATAAACCAGTCAGCGTTTGATGCTTAATGGTC